CATGTACAGCCTCAAGAATGATGTGCAGAAGTCGCTTGGTTGTGTCTGAGTTGGTAGGGTCTTTCCTGTGTCGTTGCAGCAAGGACCAGGCTGGCTTGAGCTCTCCGAGATGACCGAGCAGCCAGACTATGACCTGGAGACTTTTGTGAACAAAGCGGAATCTGCCCTGGCCCAGCAAGCCAAGCACTTCTCGGCTCTGCGAGGTGGGTGCGGCTGGATGGGTGCCAGCGGACCATGGTGGCCTCTGTGGCTCCCAGGCAAAGTGGTGGTGGCAGCTCTGCTCTGAGTGAATGGGGGCCTCTGGGACTCCGCTAACCCCATGTGTCTCACTGCCCCTTCCTTCCAGATGTCATCAAGGCTTTGCGTGTGGCCATGCAGCTGGAAGAGCAGGCCAGCAGACAGATAAGCAGCAAGAAACGGCCCCAGTGACAACTGCAAATAAAAGATCTGTTTCACACCCTCCTCGGCAAACTCTGGGCACCGGTGGGTTGGCCAGGTCTGAGCTGGGATGGGTGTCAGTAAATGCCAAGTATGGGGGCACAGGTCCCAGGGCAGCTGGGGAGGGGTCAGAGTGACACCGGATGCTACTTTCTGTTTCCTCAGTTGTCCCCTAAGGGGGCAAGCAAGGAGGACACCCTAGTTACTTGCTGTGTGTTGCGTGTGGGGGCGGGCTCCCTGGGGACAGAGAAGGAGCTGGGGTTCAGCTCTGCTGACGCCGACCTGCTTTCCACACTCTTGGTCCAGGCTCTTATGTCTTCTAACTGAAAAAAAAATAATAACAAAAAGTTTCTGGGACTTCCTCCTTCCTTGCTATTTTTAAGGCCCGAGAGGATCCCTGCTGTTTTGTGTGTTTATTCATGTGTCTCACAATAAAGCAAGAAAAAAAAATCAGCCTTTTGAGTGGTGTAGGGGGAGGGTCTAGGATGTGTCTGAGCCTTCTGGGACACAGGACAGGACCGCAGCGTGACCTCTGGGCAGTGCTGGCTCAGTACTACCCCTGCAGTTTCAGTGACAGGCTGAAGCCTCCACTCTGACATGTTCCTCTGTTTGATTAGACACTCAGGAGGCTCTGGGCCCTTTCCTAGAGAAAGGGACTATAAAAAGGAGATGGCCCTCTGCCTATTAGAGTCTACTCAAGACAGGTTGAAGGATTCTGTGGGAACACTAACTAACAAGAAAGCACTTGACTTGCTGGACAGACAAGGATCTGAAGGACCACACCAATTTGATCTCAAAAAATGAAAAGTTTGGCGAGTTGTCTGAGCCAAGCACAGGGCAGGGGCAGTTTACAAACCGGAAGACTCCACATTCCAAGTACAGAATAGGAAGTACTGAATGGTAATGAGACCACTAGTTTCAAGGCTAGGAGCCATGGAATCAAGTGCCTGGTCAGGAGGCTTCAGTCAGGGATATGGGCAGGGGCGCTACCGCCGAAACTCCAGGGAACATGGGGGTCAGCGCACCAGGTTCTGGCCCTCAGCCTGATGCTTCCTTTGTGAAACAAGGACAGTCTACCTCCTGGTGAGAGAATTACTAGTTTCAGGAGCCATTACATTTGAATTTCTGGATTGAGAAATTTGGCCTAGTCAAAAGCTTGACAAATGACACCATCTCTGTGACCTTAAAAAACCTTCCAGAAAGATGGCCCAAGTCCTTGTGCACTTGTACCCAAATGGGAGACCCAGAAGAAGCTCTTGGCTCCTGACTTTGGCCTGGCCTAGTCCTGGCCATTTTGGCCATTTGGGGAGTGAACCAGTGGGTGGAAGATTCTTTCTCCTTCTCTCTATATATTTCTGCCTTTCAAATAAATGAATAAACCTTAAATTTAAAAAGCTTCCAAAACCCAATCCCGCCCCCTTCTGTAAAATGAAGCTATCAATCCACAGTTAGGATTAAAGAATGCCACCACCCTGCCCTGACCACCTCTTAGCCAAAATGCTACATAGTCCCTAATTAGTCTCCCTGCTTGAGTTTTGTTAAGATTTGTTTTATTTGAAAACAGTGACAGAGAGGCAGACAGAGCAATCTTCCATTCACTAATTTGCTCCCCAAATTTTCTGCAACTGTCAAGCGAAAGCCAGGAGTTTGGACCCCCATCCTGGTCTCTCACATGGGTGCAGGGACCCAAGCACTGGGCCATCTTCTGCTTTTCCAGGTGCATAAAGAGAGAGCTGGATCAGAAGTGGAGCACCTAGGACTTGAACTAGCACTCCAGTATAGGATTCTGCCCAGGCAAAGCCAGGAGCTGGAAACTCAATCCAGGTCTCACGTGGCAGGAATGCAAGTCCTTGAACCATCATCACTCTCTCAGGATGCACCTTAGCAAAAGCTGGAATTGGAAGCTTAGACAATTCAAACCCAAGACCTTTGGTAAGAGACAGGTGTCCCAAGCAATGTAACTGCTATACCAGATGGCTGCCCCCAGAGAAATCTATAAAAGTTAGCCCACTGCTTCAAACCCTTTAATAACTTTCTCTCGCACAAAGGATAAATTCTGAATGCCCTACCGTGACCTATTAGGCCCTGCCCAGTTAGCTCCTTGCTTGCTCCAGTTGGAATACTAGTTGAACAGAGCAATTTGGAGATGAACGGCACAGCTTATCACTCTGCAGAGTGATATCCTAGTTCTGTGACCATAGAAACAGTGGATAAATGAGGGTAATACTGGTAACTATTGAGTTAGAAAAACTAAGTATACTAGGAGCTATGAGGCACAATACCATCTGTATGATTTTCTGTGGGTGTAGCATCAGACGTCTGCCTAGCATCAAAGATGACGACAGCGGCCAGACCAACTTCTGAACCTGCAGGAGGTGGAAGAGGAAAAGGGGAAGGTGATTTGAGCCAATTCTCAAAGCAGTATTCCAGCCAAGACTTACCTTCCCATACAAAGGTAAAATATAGGCAAACTACTCAGGATGCCCCCTGAAGCGGTTTGTAATCAGGACTTCAGGAGAGAGCTGGAAGAGAGAGAGAGCGAAAAATAGGGATCGTCCAACCTGGGAACATACAACTTCCTCTTCAGTCTCGAAGAAGCCTTGCTTAGACCAGGTTCCTGCTGCCAACCTCGATGCCGATGACCCTCTCACAGACGAGGAAGATGCAGATTTTGAAGAGGAGAGTGATGATGATGACACTGCAGCATACACACACACACACACACACATATGATTCACTTGTTTATTTGAGAGGCAGAGCTTCCATCTGCTGGTTCACTCCCCAAATATCCAGAACAGCCAAGATTAGGGCAGGCTGGGGGTGGCAGTACTGTGCCACAGTAGGTTAAGCCACAGCCTGCAGCACTGCCATCCCATATGGGTGCCAGGATATTGGAGTCCTGGCTGCTCGACTTCTGATCCAGTTCCCTGCTAGTGTGCCTAGGAAAGCAGTGGAAGATGGCCCAAGTCTCTGGGCCCCTGCTACCCACATGGGAGACCTGGGAGAAGCTCCTGGTTCCTGGCTTTGGTCTGGCCCAAAGTTTAGACTGGGCTGAAGCCAGAAGCCTGGAATTTCATCCCGGTCTCTCATATAGGTGACTAGGATCCAGGTACTTGAGCCATGATCAGCTACCTCCCAGCGTGCACATTAACAGGAAGTGGAGTAGCCAAGACTTGAACCAGGCACTCCAATAATGGGATATGGGCATCATCCCAGGTAGCTACTTAAGCTGCTGTGTTAAACATCTGTGTTAACTGTACAATTCTTTCTTTTTTTTTTTTTTTTTTTATTTTTTTGACAGGCAGAGTGGACAGTGAGAGAGAGAGACAGAGAGAAAGGTCTTCCTTTGCCGTTGGTTCACCCTCCAATGGCCGCCGCGGCTGGCGCGCTGCGGCCGGCGCACCGCGCTGATCCGATGGCAGGAGCCAGGAGCCAGGTGCTTCTCCTGGTCTCCCATGGGGTGCAGGGCCCAAGCACCTGGGCCATCCTCCACTGCACTCCCTGGCCACAGCAGAGGGCTGGCCTGGAAGAGGGGCGACCGGGACTAGAACCCGGTGTGCCGGCGCCGCTAGGCGGAGGATTAGCCTAGTGAGCCGCGGCGCCGGCCACTGTACAATTCTTTCACTTCATTGGCTAAGTTTATTCCTGGGTGTTTTATTCTTTTGGGTGCTATTGCAAATGGAATTGTTTTTCTTAATGTCCTTTTTTAAAAAAAATTTTTTTATTTTTATTTATTTGAATTACAGAGAGGTATAGACAGAGAGTGAGGTCTTCCATCCACTGGTTCACTCCCCAAATGGCTGCAACGGCCGGAGCTGAGCCCATCCAAAATCAGGAGCCAGGAGCTTCTTCTGGGTCTCCCATGTGGTGCAAGGGCCCAAGGACTTGGACCAGCCGGGACTAGAACCGGTGCCCATATGGGATGTCAATACTTCAAGCCGGGGTTTTAACCTGCTGCGCCATAGCACAAGCCCCTTTCTTCATGTTCTTTTTTTTTTTTTTTCAATTATTTATTTACTTGAAAGAGTTACACAGAGAGAGAAGGAGAGGCAGAGAGAGAGAGGTCTTTCATCCGCTGGTTCACTCTTCAATTGGCTGCAATGGCCAGAGCTGTGCCGATCCAAAGCCAGGAGGAGGAGCTTCTTCTGGGTCTCCCATATGGGTGCAGGGGCCCAAGGACCTGAGCCACCTCCCACTGCCTTCCCAGGCCACAGCAGAGAGCTGGATCAGAAGTAGAGCAGCCGGGACGTGAACCAGCGCCCATATGGGATGCTGGCACTGGAGGCAGAGGCCTTACCCTCTACGCCACAGCGCCGGCCCCCTTAATGTCCCTTTTTTTTTTTTTTTTTTAAGATTCATTTACTTATTTGAAAGAGTTACACAGAGAGAGGAGAAGCAGAGAGACAGAGATCTTCCATCCGATGGTTAACTCCCCAATCAGCCGCAATGGCCAGAGCTGTGCCGATCTGAAGCCAGGAGCCAGGAGCCTCTGGGGCTCCCATGCAGGTGCAGGGGCCCAAGGACTTGGGCCATCTACCACCGCTTTCCCAGGCCATAGCAGAGAGCTGGATAAGAAGATTAGTACTCCCTTTGACAAGGATGGAAAAGACCCTAAGGCCTGACAACACATATACAGTTAGGGCGCTGACTGCCACCCACTTTGTGGCATCTAACCACTGTTTTCAGCAATGTGGTATTGTAGGCTAAGCCTTTGCCTGCAGTGCCAGCATCCCATATGGGCGCTGGTTCAAGTTCCAGCTGCTCTTCTTCCGATCCAGTTCTATGCTTATGGCCTAGGAAAGCAGCAGAAGATGGCCCACATACTTGGGTCCCTGCACCCCTAGAGGACACCCAGAAGAAGCTCCTGGTTCTTGCCTTCAGATTAGCCCAGCTTTGGCCATTGCAGCCATTTGGAGAGTGAACCAGCAGTGGAAGACCTTTCTCTCTGCCTCTCGTTCTGTAACTGCCTCTCAAATAAATAAATCTTTTATTTACTTCTTTTTAAAAGGACTTGTTTGAAAGAGCGTGTGAAGGAGGGGGTGGAGGTTAGGGGACAGAGAGATCTTCCATCTGCTGGTTCATTCCTCAAATGCCCCCAGCAGTCATGACTGGGTGGGCTAAAACAAAGCCAGTACCCAGGAATTCCATCCAGGCCTCCCACATGGGTGGCAGGAACCCAGGTACTTGTGTCACCATCTGCTGCCTTCCAGGCACGTTAGCGGGAAGCTGGATCACTCAGAAGTGGAGCAGCTTAACCTGCTGTGCCCCAGTGCTCGCCCCTTGGCCCTCAGTTTAATAGACTTCCCAGCAGTACCAGACCCTGACACTGCCCTCTGCTGGCGTTCCTCATGCCACTAATTGCTCCTCTGTCTCTTGGCCAGCTTCTTTTCTCTATCTTGCTTTGAATTCTTGACACTCGGATCTGGGCCCCGATCTTGCATTTCTTCTTATTATTAAGATTTACTTATTTATTTGAAAGGCAGAGATACAGAGAGAGAGAGAGAGAGAGAGAGCAATCGATCTTCCATCCGCTCCCCAAATGGCTGTGACGGCCTGGGCAGGAAGGACCAGGTCGAAGCCAGAAGCTTCTTCTGGGTCTCCCACGAGGGTGAGGGGCCCAAGCACTTAGGTGCATTAGCAGGGAGCTGCATTGGAAGTGGAGCAGCCGGGGACTTGAACCGGCACCCATGTGGGATGCTGGCACTGAAGGCAGACTTTTTTTTTTTTTTTTTTTTTTGACAGGCAGAGTTAGACAGTGAGAGAGAAAGAGAGACAGAGAGAAAGGTCTTCCTTTTTCCGTTGGTTCACCCCCCAATGGCTGCTGCAGCCAGCATGCTGCGGCCAGTGCACCAAGCTGATTCAAAGCCAGGAGCCAGGTGCTTCTCCTGGTCTCCCACGTGGGTGCAGAGCCCAAGGACTTGGGCCATCCTCCACTGCACTCCCTGGCCACAGCAGAGAGCTGGACAGGAAGAGGAGCAACCGGACAGAATCTGGTGCCCTGACTGGGACTGGAACCTGGGGTGCTGGCGCCAAAGGCGGAGGGTTAGCCTATTGAGCCACGGCGCTGGCCAAAGGCAGAGACTTAAACTCCTATAATACAGTGCCAGCCCCTTCTTTCATTTCTTCATATCAGTTTGGTAAACTACTGTATTCTGACTGGGCTCAAGAGCTAAGGCTAAGGCTGCCACAAAACACACCAAACACCAGAGTAAGGGAAAGGGTTTATTGGGGGAAAACCGACAGACCGGAGGGAAGGGGCGAAGAAGGAAAAGAGGGAGGAGAGCGTAAGAGAGATTGAGAGAGACAGAGACAGAAAGACCAGAAAGAAAAAGATCAGGAGATGGAGAGAAAAGAGCCATGTGTTCAGGAACAGGTCCTCTTAAACCTTTGGGGGGGGTGGGTTAGCAGGGAAGTATGACCAGCAAATCCCATTAGGATGGGGGTGGGGCTGACACCAGTGGTTGGGCCATGTGGTCACCTAGCTTCTAGCAAATGGCAGCGGGGGCTAGAGCTAGGATGGTGTCAAGGGTGTAGATTGCACCATAGATAAGACTGTGCCATTTTACTAACACTAAGCATGGATTTTACACTTTTAAGTGTTTGGAAAAAAAATTCAAAAGCATAATGCATCATGTGTCAAAAGACAGTTACAGAAAGAGAAGGAAAGAGATCTTCCTTCTCCTGGTTCACTGCCCAAATGACTGCAATGGCCAAGGCTGGGCCAGGTGAAAGCCAGGTGCCAGGAGTTTGATCTTTGTCTCCTACATGGGCACATGGGCACAACAGGGAGCTGGATTGGAATGGAGCAGCCAAGACTCAAACAGGCGCCCATATGGGATTCCAGCACTGCAGGCGGTGGCTTTACCTGCTATGCCACAGTGCTGGCCTCAAAATAGCAAAGTTTAATGAAGAGAAATACACCAAGGGCCGGCGCTGTGGCACAGTAGATTAAAGCCCTGGCCTGAAGCACCAGCATCCCATATGGGCGCTGGTTCTAATCCCGGCTGCTCCTTTTCCAATCCAGCTCTCTGCTGTGGCCTGGGAAAGCAGCAGAAGATGGCCCAAGTGCTTGGGCTCTTGCACCCATGTGGGAGACTCAGAAGAATCTCCTGGCTTTGGATTGGCACAGCTCTGGCCGTTGCGGCCATCTGGGGAGTGAACCAGCGGATGGAAGACCTTTCTCTCTGTCTCTACCTCTCTCTGTAACTCTGTCTTTCAAATAAATAAAATAAATCTTTAAAAAGAGAGAGAGACTTTTATGGCCTGGGAAAGCAGTAGAAGATGGCCCAAGTCCTTGGGCTCCTGCACTTGCGTGGGAGACCTGGAGGAAGCTCCTGGCTCCTGGCTTCAAATCGGTGCAGCTCCAACCGTTGTGGCCATCTGGGGAGTGAACCAGCGGATGGAAGACCTCTCTCTCTGCCTCTTCTCTCTGTGTAACTCTGGCTTTCAGTAAATCGCCCCATTTTTTGACTAGGGAAAGTAAAAGGAAGTCGCCAGGGAAGGGCAGAAGGGGACCGGGTGGAGAAAGATACAGGGAGAAAGGCCTTTCCTTTGCTGCTGGTTCCACCCCTCAAATGGCTCCCCGGGCCGAATGTAGGGGGGGAACACCGCGCTGATCCGATGGCAGGAGCCAGGAGCCAGGTGCTTCTCCTGGTCTCCCATGGGGTGCAGGGCCCAAGCACCTGGGCCATCCTCCACTGCACTCCCTGGCCACAGCAGAGAGCTGGCCTGGAAGAGGGGCAACCGGGACAGAATCCGGCGCCCCGACCGGGACTAGAACCCGGTGTGCCGGCGCCGCTAGGCAGAGGATTAGCCTAGTGAGCCGCGGCGCCGGCCCTCAAATAAATCTTTAAAAAAGAGAGAGAGAGAGAGAGAGAGAGAGAGAGAGAGAGAGAGAGAGAGCAATACACCTGACACACCAGAGGGTGTCTCAGGGAAGAAGTTCGTGCAGTCCATTTTGGACTGGAGTTTTTATCAGTATGGGTGTGGGTCCTTGGTTTCTTCCCCTCCCTCCCTAGGAGGGAGTGTCCCCTAGGATATCCTAGGATATCTCTGGGTGGGTGAAGGGCCCCCTGGGCCTGCATAACTGAAATTCCTCCCAGAATTTCATGTTGGAACCAATAGCCAGCCCCCGGGTATAGGGTGGGTACACTCCCCTAAAGCTTCTTCCAGGAGAGGGCTGGAACCCCCCAACAAGGTCAATGGACGGGGAAGACTTTTGATGTGCAAATGCTGGTGTGCTTCCAAGGCCCACTTCCCTGTATCTTTCCTCAGGCAACCACACAAAAACTCCCATTTTCTTCAGCCCCTCTTAGACACACACACTTTCTACCTAGCAACCTTACCCAAAGTAACATCTCTGCCCAGACTTCTTTTATTAACGATCGCCAGGGGGCCGGTGCTGTGGCGTAGCGAGTAAAGCCACTGCCTGCAGCGCTGGCATCCCACATGGGCGCCAGTTCTAGTCCCGGCTGCTCCATTTCTGATCCAGCTCTCTGCTATGACCTGGGAAAGCAGTGGAAAATAGCCCAAGTGTTAGGAAGAGTTGCAGATTGGTGCCTCCTCACACGAGGCACCAAAATGTTAAGAGGCGCAGCATAGAGAGGAGGCAGTGTACGAATTTACAGCCAGACCGAATTTATTCAGATAAAATAAACCCGTGGAGGTGGGTGACCAACTGCCCAGGTGCCCATGATGGAACACGTGGCAGAAGGCCCCGACTCCCAGAGGCTGGGAGTTTATATTTTAGGAGGGCTGGGGATGGGGGTGGGGTAGGGGCAGCAGGCAGAGGGGAATTCCTGGAACTGGTCTTTCAGGTGGCTGTAAGGGGTGGGGTATGAAGGCAATAGGGTGAGACCCAACTGAGTTAAGGCAAGGAATGCATTTCAGTGTTTCTCTATTTTGGGCAATAAGGGAGAATGGCTGAGGCTTATGTCATCGTTCCATCACACCATTCACTTCATCTCTCCCACCCCCCTTGCACTCTTTTCTTAAGATTTATTTACTTGAAAATCAGAGTTACAGAGAGAGGAGAGGCAGAGAGAGAGAGAGAGGTCTTCCATCCGCTGGTTCACTCCCCAATTGGCCACAACGGCCGGAGCTGCGCCGATCCGAAGCCAGGAGCCAGGAGCTTCTCCCGAGTCTCCCACGCGGGTGCAGCGGCCCAAGGTCCTGAGCCATCCTCCACTGCTTTCCCAGGCCATAGCAGAGAGCTGGATCGGAAGAGGAGCAGCCGGACTTGAGCCAGCGCCCATATGGGATTCGGGCACTGCAGGCGGCGGCTTTACCCGCTACGCCACAGCGGCGGCCCCTGCACTCTTTTCAAACGCAGCCACATCCACCTTTCACCTTAGACTACTATAATAGCCTCTGAAACGAGTTTTCAAAACGTAAATAAAACCCGGCTCGGCTGCAGCCCGTGCCGTAAATCCTATTTCAAAAAAACCGTCGCGACCTCCCGCGCCGCAGCTCCCAAGGTCAGAGAACACAGAGCGGACTGGAGAGGCTGCAGTGTCGCACACGTCATTCGCGTCGCCTTGCGGCTCCAACCTCGTCTCCTCGGCGCCCGGAAAAGACGTAAAAGGGGCGGGGCAGCGTCTCACAAATCGGACCGTGACGCTTTGCGTTTTCTCTTTCCAGCCAGCGCCGCCGAGCGATGGGTGAGTGTTTCTCTGTGTTGGGACTGGGGAAGGCGGTTGCGGTCAATCCAGCGCCATCCTGCCTCGCAGCCAAAATGGGAATAAGGGCACCCCGATCCCTGGCTACAAACAGGTATCAGGAAGCGTGGCCACTGGGTTTTGGCCGCCGAGGCCTGTAGCACGGGCTTCAAGGGCTCCGGGCTGTGGGCTGCAAGCGGCATCAACATGGCTGCCGCGGGAACGGAGTGCCGGGGCCGGGCCGCACGTGTATGATGACACCTCGGTAATGCTGCAAACTCCCGACTGCGCCGTGGGGAGGCGAACCTTGGAGAGCTGAGCGGGCGGCCCACCCGTCGCGGGGGTCTGGAGGGCGCGAGCCGCCGGCACCGAGTCCCTGTGGTTCAAGGTTCCGTCCCCGCTCCCACATACAGGCATCTCTCGGGACAACTGGCACAAGCGCCGCAAAACTGGGGGCAAAAGAAAGCCCTACCATAAGAAGCGGAAGTATGAGCTGGGCCGCCCGGCTGCCAACACGAAGGTGGGTGTGCGCGTGCCGTACCGTGCAGTGGCGGGGTGGGGGTCTCAGCGTGGGGCTGGTGGGCCGGGTGGTGAGATTGGTGCGTGAAGTGGGAATGTAGTCCCTGTGCCAACACCCTTGGGTCTAAATGCTAAGACTGTGAAGGGTGCCTGGAGGGGTGGGCTTCTCGGGGAGTTATAGGCCTGCTGTTTCTGCTTCCGGTGCTCGGGGTCAGATTTTCAACTTGGAGGAAACTGGAGTGATGAAAGAGTATCCTTAGGCGTGGTGGTGGCCGTCTTGGTCACTTAGTGCCACTTGCCAGTGCAAGGACTTGTCATAGTTACACTGACTGGTGCCTCCCTGCAGCCCTAGCTTCCCAGTCCCTTGCTTGTTGTCTTGGCAACTTGGATCCTGTCTCTTGTTTCCAGATCGGCCCCCGGCGGATACATACCGTGCGAGTTCGAGGAGGCAATAAGAAGTACCGGGCCCTGCGGCTGGACGTGGGGAACTTCTCCTGGGGCTCCGAGTGTGAGTGAGGCCCTTCTGGAGGAGGTGGGAACCAAGTGCTTTTAGCAGGACACCCTGGCCTAGACCAGCTCACTTGAACTTGCCTTGCCTAAAGGCCTTGAGGTGGTTGTGAGAGTTCTTTCTGTGCAGACTGCCCTGTCCTTAGAGGCTCGGGCAGATGCTAGCCTGTTTACCAAGCGTCCCTGGGGGAGAGTTTGTGAGAGATGATTTGTTGTTCCATTGCTTCTCGGGTCCTAGTAGGGGCAGAGAGCCTGAGGAGGTGTGGGGCAAGGCCAGTGGGCCTCGGGCTTCCTCCCACGACCTGATTCGCGTTTCCCTTGTGAGCAGGTTGTACCCGCAAAACGAGGATCATCGATGTTGTCTACAATGCCTCCAATAACGAGCTGGTCCGCACCAAAACCCTGGTGAAGAACTGCATCGTGCTTATAGACAGCACGCCGTACCGACAGTGGTACGAGTCCCACTACGCGCTGCCCCTGGGCCGCAAGAAGGGGGCCAAGCTGGTACGTGGTCCCTCGCGTGGGCATGGGGAGGAGGAGGAGGGTCGCTGCCTTGTGATGAGACTCTGTCCAGTTCTGCTACTGAAGGGAGAGAGATGAAAGCCTTGAGTGCTGAGGAAGGCGGGATGTGGGGTTCCCGAAGGCCCTAGGGGCCCTCCTTCCCTGGGCTAATCCACCTGTGTCCCTTATGTTCAGACTCCTGAGGAGGAAGAAATTTTAAACAAAAAACGATCAAAGAAGATTCAGAAGAAATACGACGAAAGGAAGAAGAATGCCAAGATCAGCAGTCTGCTGGAGGAGCAGTTCCAGCAGGGCAAGCTGCTCGGTGAGATGGCTGTGTGGTGGGCGGGGGTGCCCCCGCCTTACCTCTGTACCGCTCCGTCGGCTGCGAGGGTGTGAAGACAGAATGCACACGTGGAAATGCTGGGTGGGGAGGTCCGAGGCCTGTAGGTGGAGCTTGGAGGAGTTTGAGAAATGCATGTGCAGGCTCAGGGGTTGTCTCCGTGATGAGAACTTTGTCCAGTTCTGCTACTGATTTGGAAGTGAGGATAAAGTACACCTGAGGAGACTGTGGGCTTCGTTTTTGCCTCCTGGGTATTTGAACCGACGTGGGCTTTTAGGGGGTTAGAATGATGTGAGGGGAGCTACCTAGTCATTTTCCTAAGGACCACATGCTCTCATTCCAGCGTGCATTGCGTCAAGACCTGGCCAGTGTGGCCGAGCAGATGGCTATGTACTAGAAGGCAAGGAGCTGGAGTTCTATCTGAGGAAAATCAAGGCCCGGAAAGGCAAATAAGTCCTCCACCGTGTAATAAAGGTGTTTATTCTATTTCCTATGTCTGTGTTTGAATGTTTACTCTGGATCCTTGTGCTGGTGATAGCTGGTATTCCCTCCCCCCTCCTGCTGTCCTGCCCCAGTCCCGGCCCACTCTGGAGTCCCCTTTGGCCTCAGCTCTATCTCCTGTGGGCCATACTTACTGTTAGTGTGGGCGGGGTCTGCACGGTGGGGAGGATATTTCTCCCTGGATTACAGTGGGAGCAGGGCTGTGGGATGCATGCCCAGCAGGCTTATGAGAGCCCTCCCAACAATATATATATATTTTTTTTTTTTCATCTACTTGAAAGGTGGAGTAACAGTCCATATGGTAGTTAGCTCCCCCACAAGGCTGCAACAGCAGGGGCTGGGCCAGGGCCAAAGCCAGAGCCAGGAAGTCCATCCAGTTTTCCCACATGATGACAGGGATGCAAGCACTCGAGCCACCATCTTCTGCCTATCAGGATTCACAGCAGGAAGGTGGTTTGGAAGCAGAGCAGCAGGGACTTGAGCTGGCACTGTGACATGGGGTCCCCCAGTGTCCCACATAGTAGCTATCAGTACCAGCTCAGATCCTGGCTGCTCCACTTACAGTCCAGTTCTGTGTTAATGTGCATAGGGAAGCACAGGAAAGTGGCCCAAATGTGTAACTCTGCCACCCATGTAGGAGATCTTGGGGCTGGTGTTGTACAGTGGGTTAAGCCCTGCATGTATGCCTGTTCAAGGCTGTTGCTCCACTTCCAATCCAGCTCTCTACTGATGTGCTGGAGAAAGTAGAAGATGGCCCAAATACTTGGTCCCCTGCTACCCAGATGGGCTTCCCTGGAGCTTTGCAAGGGGCAGCCTAACCTGCTGTGTAGGATTGCTGGCACCACTGGTTAGGTTTTTATTTACCTTGAGATTTATTTAAAAAGGCAGAATGACAGATCTATTTGTGGATTCACTTTGCAGACTGGCCCCAACAGTAGAGGCTAGCCAAGGTCAGGAGCCTCATCTGGGTGTCCCACACAGGTGGCAGGAACCCCAGTGCTTGAGCCATTCCCTACTGCTTCCCAGGTGCATCAGCTGGGTGCTGGATCAAAAACAGCAGCTGGACTCAAACTGACATGCTAACATGAGATGCCCCACCTTGGTTAAGTTTTTAACTTTGGCTCATAAGTGGTCTGAAAATCAGTTACGGGAGGGGTGTTCATCCAGTGTTCACTCCCCAAATGGCCACAGTAGAGCAGAGCTGATCCAAAGCTAGGAGCTTCTGGGTCTCCCAAGTAGTTACAGGAGTCCAAGCACTTGGGCCATTTTCCACTGCTTTTCCTGAGTTTAGAAGCTATCCTTAAGGACCAACACAACCTAACCTTCACCGGCTATAGGGAGACCTGGGCCCTGTTTCCCACACTCTGATCTTCATTCGCCATCATAGTGTTAGCTCATTTTTGTGGTAAGATTTAAGATTTATTTGGGGCCAGTGCTGTGGCATAATGGGTAAAGCTGCCACCTGCAGTGCTGGCATCCCACATGGGCACCAGTTCAAGTCTCAGCTGCTGCACTTCTGCTCCAGCTCTCCACTATCAACTGGGAAAGCAGTAGAAGATAGCTCAAGTCCTTGGACCCCTGTGCTGGTGTGGGAGACCCAGAAGAGGCTCTGGCTTCAGATTGGTGCAGCTCTGGCAGTTGAGGCCAGTTGGGGAGTGAATCAGCTGGTGGAACACCTCTCAATCTCTCTGCCTAAATATTTGAAAGGCAGAGTTAGAGGGGTCTCCCATCCACTGGTTCACTCCCCAGCTGGTCGCAATGGCTGGAGCTGCACCAATCCGAAGATCCTCCTACAGGTCTCCCACACCAGTGCAGGGGCCCAACGACTTAGGCCATCTTCCACTGCCTTCCCAGGCCATAGCAGAGAGCTGGATCGGAAATAGAGCAGCTGGGACTAGAACCCGGCGCCCATGTGGGATGCTGGCACTGCGGGTGGCAGCTTTACCCACTATGCCACAGCACTGGCCTCCCTATACTTATGTTTTCTAATTTGAGCATAAAACCTGCTAGGAAAAAAAAAAAACAAAAACAGAAATGCCCTCTGCCTGGATGGTCATCACTGTGGAGGTCTACTGTTTGGTTACCGACATGGAAACGGGCTTAGAAATGTACAGGACCCCGTGGTCACAAATACCAGGCAGAGCCAGCATTAGTCTCAGTCCTCCCAGAGTGCAAACCCGCTGTGCATCCACCTCTTAAGCGCCCCTCTGGCCTTTCGGTTGGTGGGAGTGGAGAAATCGTGAAACTATGGGAAGGGTAGCATATGCCTGCCATTTGAAAGAGGATAGTGACCACAATGGCCAGGACTGCCAGGCCGAATCTAGGAGCCAAGAGCTTCAACCAGGTCTCCCATATAGTTGCAGGGGCCCAAACATCTGGGCCTTTTGCCACTGCTTTTCCTAGACCATTAAGGAGCTGGATGGAAGTGGAGCAGGCAAGGCTTGAACCCATACCCGTATGGGATGCTGGCCCTGCAGATTCAGTTTTTTTCAAGGTGGAGTCACAGAGCTCCCATCTGCTGGTTCATGAGCAGGACCTGCTTCCGGGCCTCCTGTGTAGGTGCAGGGGCCCAAGTACCTGGGCTATCCTCCAGCTACTCTTCCAGGCACAATGGCAGGGAGCTGGATCGCAAGTGAGGAAGCCAGGAATCAACCGGAGGAGCCGGGAGCCCATACGGGATGCCACTGCCCCAGACAGTTGCTTTACCTGCTAGGCCACAGCGCCGCCCCTTCCTCTCTCTCCATCCCCTCACCCCTGCTTTAAACAGTGATAAATGAATATATTCTCATTGGAAAAAAAAAAAACCTTGACCATTACAGATAAAGCAAAAGTCCCCCAGCACACACTGACCAGTCTTGTGAGGTTATCAGGATGAGGAAGGTGCATATTCCAGGCATTGGTTATTATTATTATTTACTTGAGAGGCAGAGAGGTGTCTAACATCTGCTGGTTCACTCCCCAAATGGCCACAATGGCGGAAGCTGGCCCAGTCCAAAGCCAGGAGCTTCTACCCGGTCCCCAACGTGGGTGTAGAGGCCCAAGCTCTTGGGCTATTTTCTGTTGCTTTCCCAGACCATAGCAGAGAGCAGCCGGAACTCCACCACAGTGCGGCCCCACCAGAGAAATTGATACAGAGGAAAATCGTAAGCGCCATCCCAAATCCGCCACCTCAGAAAGGCTGAGGGGGGGTGCCCAGCCTCTCCGCGGACCTTCAGAGAATCACCGGGTGCCCAGCTGCCGAGGGAGCGAGCTGCGGCCTGGGCTCTAGTCTTCCGTGCCTGCCCAGGCCTCTGGTCCTGGCTTCACCTCCTCCAAGGATCCCATCCTGCCTTCTCCCACCAAAGCGGACACACCCCAGCCCTGCCTCTGGCGGCCCTGAAGGCACACAGGAAGAGCTGCCCCGAAGGTGGAGGGAAGCGGACTGGGCGGCCCTCAGGGCTCCGGGGTCTCCTCTCCGGACTCAGCCGCCTCCTCCTCCTCGATGCGGTCAGGGGCCTCCAGGTCGCCGCTCTCCTCTACCCGGAAGCGTAGCAGGTGCGGGGTCCGAGGAGCGCCTCGCGCCCGGCCGAAGTTTCGGAGGCTGATGGCCGGGGAGGGCGCTCCTGCGCCCAGGAAGCGACCAAGCAATGGGGTCTGCGTGGCGGGCCGAGCGCACGCCGGCGACGCCTCCACCTGCAGGCTCTGCTCAGGGTCGTCGCTCATGCTGCGGACGAGAGAGCGGACTGAGCGAGACGGGCTCCCGCCACAGGAGGGACCCAGTCACTAGTGCCCCAGGAGGTGAGGGGCCCCGGGCAGCTTAGGCCAGCGCGGAGCGCTCACCGCAGGTTGAAGGTGGAGCCCAGGAAGGAGGGCCGCAAGGTCTCGGCCGCCGTGGCCACAGTGTAGGGAGGCTGCGGTTGGTCCTCGTCCCAGTAGGGGTCCTTCTCGGCTGGGGGCAGGTTCTGGTACATGTCGTCCACAGACAGCAGAGACACCTGGGCCAGCAGAGGGGCACGCGGCGGTTCACAAGGGCTTTCCTGTGCACACCTACACAGAGCTGGCAGGGAGAGACAGCCAAGGAGCTGCTCCAGACCTTTGACAGATCCAGCAGCCCTCACCTGCAGGTTGCGGTCTATGAGCTGGTTGGTCTCAAAGTCATCATCATCTTCACCAAAGGGGTTGATGATCTGTTCAGCCACCTGTGGTTTGCAGGGACAGGGATGCGTCTGCGTCAGGCCCCACGTTCATCCCCCAAGGTTGGGGGTGGGCCCTGTGCCCGTGTGTCTACAGAGTGGGCCACCATCCCAAGTGCTACCTTGAGCCATCCAGCATAGAAGAAGAACTGCAGCAGAGTGGTGAGAGGCACGTACATATCCGGGTCTCCCAGGGTTGGCCCTGCCTGCTGGCCTGGCTCCTGAGGTTTGGCAGCCCCTGTCTCTGGCTCCAGAAACTGGCGGCCAACCAGGGACAGACCAAAGAAGGAATATACGGCTATGGTCACCACCTGGGGAAGGGAGAGGCAGGCTCCGAGTATGATGCAGTGGGACAGACAGAAATGCCATCCCTGCTCTGAGGACCTGGGGGCAGGCAGACAAGTAGCTGAACAGGTAACGGGGATAGGCATTTGGCTAAGCGGTTGATTAAGCCGCTAGTTAGGATGCCTGTGTCCTATACTGGAATGCCTGAGTTTGATGTCCATTTCTGGCTTCTTAAGAAAAACAGATTTACTTACTTATTTGAAAGCCAAAACGATAGAGTGAGGGAGAGTCAGGCAAAAGAGAAAGGTAGCTTCCATCTGTTGGTTTACTCCCTAAATGCCTACAACAGCCATGTCTGAGCCAGGCTGAAGCCAGGAGCCAGAAACTCCACCCTGGTCTCCCATGTGGGTGTCAGGAGCCCAAGCACTTGTACCATTTCCGCTGCCTTTTTTTTTTTTTTTTTTTTTTTGACAGGCAGAGTGGACAGTGAGAGAGAGAGAAAGGTCTTCCCTTTGCCGTTGGTTCACCCTCCAATGGCTGCCGTGGCCGGCGCACTGCAGCCGCGCACTGCGCTGATCCGAAGGCAGGAGCCAAGTGCTTTTCCTGGTTTCCCACACAGGTGCAGGACCCAAGCACTTGGGCCATCCTCCACTGCATTTCCTGGCCATAGCAGAGAGCTGGCCTGGAAGAGGGGCAACCAACCGGGACAGAATCTGGTGCCCCGACCGGGACTAGAACCCGGTGTGCCGGCGCCGCAAGGCGGAGGATTAGCCTAGTGAGCTGCGGCGCCAGCCTCCACTGCCTTTCAAGGGGCATTAATAGGAGGCTGGATGGGAAGCAGAGCATCTGGGGCCGAACCAGAGCCCCAGAATGGGATGCCAGCGGAGCAAGCAGTGGCTCAATCTGCGGCACCACAATGCCAGCCCCCACTTCTGGCTCCTGACTCCCTTCCTGCTAAGGCAGACCCTGGGAGGCAACAGCGATGGCTCCAGTACTTGGGTTCTTAGCGACAACGTGGGCAACCTGAATTGCATTCCCAGCTCCCAGTTTTGGCCCCTGCTGGGGCCCATTGCAGGCATTTGAGGGAGTGAACCAGCAGATGGGAGCTCTCTCTGCCTCTCAAATGAAAACAAAACCAAAAACCCACAACATATAACAGGATGCAGCAGCACCTGTGGGGAATAGCGTCAACTTGCTGGGGGTAGAGGAAGATTTTGATGTTGATGCCTTGACTGTCCAGTGCCTTATGGGACTGAACTGACCCAGGGCAAATACCCTATCTAATTCTCAGTCTCACACACAGCCCAGGGCATGCAGGACGCACTGGGCCTGGGGAGGTGAGAGGCAGTTACTTGGGTGTAGACGAGGGGGATGCTGATCCAGTCGTAGTGGAAGAGCATGCTGCACTTGGCCCGGTACTTGTTCAGCTCCTGGTGGGAGAGCAGGAAGAGGAAGTCAGCAGGGGAGAATGGGAAGGGAACAGGGCACCTGGCACAGCTGGGTGCAGCTCGGGCCTGGAGGCCCATCCGCTCTGAGGTGTGATTGCTGGGTCTGAGATGGGCATTCAGCACACGATCGATCGCACGCACAGACCCGGGAGCCAGATTGTCAGTGGCCTGGGCCTCGCTTTCCTCATCTGTGAAAGGGGGTGATAATAGTATCTATTATCTAGCTCAAGGATCATTGTGAGGGTTAAATTAATCAATAAGGGTACAGTGCATCCAAAAGTGTGTGCTACATAGTTGGCACCGTGTAAGCGTAAGTACTAAAACTGTTAGTCCTTTGCAAAGCTAGGAGAGGGCAGAGGGGCCGGGCGCTAGGTGGACTCACTTCCAGAAGCAGGCACAGAGCAATGTCGTCTCGGATTCGCCCATCCTTCCGGGCCTGGGCTGCCAGGTTGGTGAACCAGACGCAGGGGACCCAGTACTTGTTGAAGTCAGATTTCAGGCTCTCAAACTTTTTCCTCTCTTCCTGGGACATGAAACCTGCACGAGGCACGTGGATGGGTGCAGATGTGTCCTCTGCCGCCAGCGCCAGCGGCTCCCCTCTCTTGGCAGACACCCACGGGGCCAGACTCGCCGCTGGAGATCCCAAGAGCGCCTCCTGGCCGGATGGGCTCAAACCCTCCCCTTGCCCGGGAGGCCTCAGCTCCAGGGCTCCGCCAGCGCTGCGTACCTGCGTCCACCACGTGCTCCATGGTGGGGAAGCGCTTGAGCACGCGGGTGCTGACGGAGCGCAGCACCAGCACGGACGCCAGGTTGGCGTAGCGGATGAGGGTGCGGCGCAGCAGGCGGCCGCGCTGGTCCACGCCGTGCACGCTGGCCGAGATGACGCACATCAGCTGGTCCGGCAGCGGGATGCTTGTGTACTGAGACCACCAGCGGTTCACCACCAGAGTCACGTAGAAGCCTGGCGGGGCGCCGTTTCGGTTGTGGGGCCAGGAAGGGAGCATGAAGGGCAGGGGTGTCAGAATGCCCTGGTCGGGAGCCCGCAGCCCGGGGGCAGGTCCAAGCCAAGAAGGGGGTGGGGTGGGGGTGGGACAAGCTCCACTGGGACCTCTTCCTCTGGTCACACCGCCCGCCCTTTCGTGCCAGGCCAGATCAGAAGGGATGAGTGTGAACTTCCCCTGGCAGAAGGGAAGTGGGAGTTCAAGGCCAGATAATGGTTAACTCGGAGACCTGCCTCCCACGATGTGGGGGAGGGGTCTGTCACCTCTCTGCAGCTCCCCTCCAGTACCCAGAGTGAGGTCATCAGCCCAGCGTGTGTCTTGTGCCTTGTGTGGCCTGAGAGTCCAGCCAGCGATAGGCAGGAAGCCCTGGACCGGGCACCCAGCTCCAGCGCCTGCTTGGCTGCTCGGCTGAGTCATTCTGACCCTCAGAGCGGCCAGCTCAACCCAAAGGTCAGGAAGGACGGGAGGGGGCTCTCAGGGCAAGCCAGCAGGGGGGCTTACCCAGGACAAAGGACAGGGGGATGAGGTCTGCGGAGCGGTTGCAGTATCGGGCCACCTGCGCATACACCTGCCTCTGCTCCTGGGTCAGCAGCAGCCTGGGGAGGGGAGGGGAGGTTAGGTCAGCCTGGGTAGGAGGGAGGTGGGCAGCCTCGTCCCCCCCGCCAGCTAGCCCTGTGCCCCGCCCTTACCGGTACGTGATGCTGAGCACTGCGTACAGGGCCATGAACAGTAGGAACTCCTTGTACAGGAGCTTGTAGATGCTTCCCCTCCATCGGAGCAGCAGGCCAGAGAAGCCACCGAAGCGGGCCTCCGCCACTTTGAGTGTATATGAAACCGTCATGGTGCTGGGGGCCTGGGGCAGAAAGTCACAAGCGCCATCCGTCTCCTTAGCTTGCCTTGCCATCACCAGGCAAGCTGGGTCATGCACACCCCAGCTTCCACCCCAAGTCAGCAGAGCAGACAGAGCACCCTGGATCCCCTGCAGAACACCTTGTCCACAGTAAGCCAGGACTGAGCAGGGCAAAGCAGAGCTGAGACCTCGTGCCTGAGCTTCCCCAAGTTCCCCTTCCACCTGCACACCCAGGGGTAGCCATGTCCTGAGCTGCTGAGGACAACAGCCCCGACTCCAGCCCAGACTCACCCCTGTTCCGTGGGACCTTGCTCTGGAGGCCGATTGTCTATTCTCCCACAGCCCAGGGGCACACACACGCCCACCCCATACAAGCCTACCTGCTCTGAGCTGCAGCCCGCGCTGTGAAAGACCTGGGCTGGCCTTCACGTCCCAAACTTAAGTACCTCCTGGGTCCATAAAGTTAGGCTGGACAGAGGCTATCAATGATGGATTGATTAAGGCTGTCACCCAGCTTCCCCTGGTCCTGGGAACTGGGTGTGGGTCCCTATTCAAGCAGGGCTGGGCTGTCCTTTGAGTGGCAAAAGTGCCACCTGCACTGACTCCACAGCTCACACAGGCAACACCGTGTCCTTCAAGCTGGGGTGACAAGGCTTCATGTCCCAAGCTCCAGGTGAGAACACAGATGGATGGTGAGCTGTTATAATGCCAGCTGTGCTGATGACCCAGCACTGGCCACGTGACAGGCGTGGTGCCAAGGACCCTGCTGTATCATCCTTATCCTCAGCACAGCCCTAGGAGGCATCCCGTCTTACAGATGAGCATCCCAGCAGGAAATGACGTCCCGTGAGGTACAGTGGAGACCTATTGGAGGCAGGATTCAAACCAAAGCTGAGGGGCTTCCAAGGCAACAAGTGGCCCAAGGGGGCCTGGCCAAGGCTCCAGCTCTGGGGCCAGGGTCGTGTGCACTGGCCACAGCGCCAAGCTTCTAGTTCATGTTCCCAGGGTCCTGAGGAAGCCCCGCCCCCATCACCATGCCACAGGGCTAGCAAAGCCACAGACCTGGGAACTCAGGGCATGGATGCAGACCACTTGAAGCCTTGTGTCCAGTTTTGACAACTTGGAGTGCTCAGGAAACTGATGACTTCTATGTCTAGACCTCAGTTTCTTAATCTGTTGGAAGAAATCATGTCAAAGTACTGATAAGAGTAGAAGTAGAGCCTGAGGCAAAGATTTGGCCTGGAGGTTAAGACGCCTGCATCTCACATTGGTCAGGGTACCTGGGTTTGAGTGCCGACTCAGTTCCTGATTCCAGCTTCTTACTCATAATGTGCACCCTGGGAGGCAACAGGTGATGGCTCAAGTACTTGGGGTCCTGTCTCCCATTTGGGAGGCCTGGACAGAGTTCCTGGCTCTCGGCTTTGGCCTGGCCCAGCTCCAGCTATTTCAAGCATCTGGGGAGTGAACTAGCAGATGGGAGATTTCCCTCTCTCTCTCTCCCTCTCAAATAAATAAATAAAATAAATTTTTAGACAAAAACAAGGGGCCAGAACTGTGGCGCAGCGGGTTAAAGCCCTGGCCTGAAGCGCTGGCATCCCGTATGGGCACCGGTTCTAGGCCCGGCTGCCCCTCTTCTGATCCAGCTCTCTGCTATGGCCTGGGAAAGCAGTAGAAGATGGCCCAAGTCCTTGGGCCCCTGCACCCACGTGGGAGACCTGGAAGAAGCTCCTGTCTCCTGGCTTCGGATTGGTGCAGCTCCGGCCATTGTGGCCATCTGAGGAATGAACCAGCGGATGGAAGACCTCTCTCTGTCTCTATCCCTCTCTGTAACTCTGTCTTTCAAATAAATAAAATAAATTTTTTAAAAAAAGATAAAAACAATTTTTAAAGATGTAATTTATTTATTTGAGAGGCTGCTAGTTACAGAGAGAGAGACAGAGAGATCTTCCTTCTGTTGGTTCGCTCCCTAAAATGGCCACCATGGTCAGAGCTGTGCCGATCCAAAGCCAGGAGCCAGGAGCTTCTTCCAGGTCTCCCACATGGGTGCAGGGGCCCAAGCACTTGGGCCATCTTCCACTGCTTTCCTAGGCCATAAGCAGAGAGCTGGGTCAGAAGAGGAGCAGTTGGGACACAAATCAGTGCACATATGGTGTCACAGGTGGAGTGGCTAAGCCACTATGCCACAGTGACAGCCTCGACAAAAAAAATAATAATTAAAGATTAGTTCATTTATTTGAAATGCAGAGCTACAGAAAGGCAAAGTCAGAGAAGAGAGAGAGAGAGAGAGAGGTCTTCCATCTGCTGGTTCACTTCCCAACAGCTGCAATAGCTTGAGCTGAGCTGATCCAAAGCCAGGAGACAGGAGCTTCTTCCAGATCCTCCACGTGGGTGCAGGGACCCAAGGACTTGGACCATCTTCTACTGCTTTCCCAGGCCACAGCAGAGAGCTGGATCAGAAGTAGAGTAGCCGGGATTTGAGCTGGCGCCCTTATGGTGCCAGTACGGCAGGAGGTGGTTTTTTTTTTTTATTTTTTTTTATTTTTTTTTATTTTTATTTTTATTTTTTGATAGGCAGAGTGGACAGTGAGAGAGAGAGACAGGTCTTCCCTTGCCGTTGGTTCACCCTCCAATGGCCGCCGCTGCAGCCGGCGCAGCGCGCTGATCCGATGGCAGGAGCCAGGAGCCAGGTGCTTTTTCCTGGTCTCCCATGGGGTGCAGGGCCCAAGCACCTGGGCCATCCTCCACTGCACTCCCTGGCCATAGCAGAGAGCTGGCCTGGAAGAGGGGCAACCGGGACAGAATCCGGCGCCCCGACCGGGACTAGAATCCGGTGTGCCGGCGCCGCAAGGTGGAGGATTAGCCTATTGAGCCACGGCGCGGCTTTAGGAGTGGTTTTTACCAGTGAAGCATGGTTGGACCCCCTAAGGAGCCTGTTGCCTTTCTTT